AGTTCAACAAGACAGAAAATAACAAATGCTGGCGAGGTTGTGGAGAGATTGGGACTCTCATACACTGCTGGTGGGACTGTAAAATGGTACAACCACTGTGGAAAGCAGTATGGTGATTCCTTAAAAAGTTGGAATTAGAAATACCATTTGACCCAGCCATTTCATTACTAGGTATATATTTTGAGAGCCTTCTAATCTATCAGGACTATTCTTAAAGTTGTGCAGTAATGTATCAGACAGTGTTTCTTTGCTATTCATAAGGTTTTCCCTGGCTAATTCTTTGAGAAGTGGTCGGCCTCTTCCTTCTTCCTAGTCTTTCTCACTCTGTAAACTGGTCTGATGCACCATGTGCACCCCCTGGGTTTGAAACACCAGTGGCTTAGCCTCAAGACTCAAATCAACATGTCACCACAGTAGGACAAACCAACAGACAAGTTTGTCTCCCTGTTGGAAACCTCTCCTACCACCCTTACCTGGGTCCCTGCAGTTGATTCCTCATTCTGTCCCAGTCCCCAGGCCTATTCCTCTCCTCTCTCCCATTCTCCCGCCCTGCCGCTTTAGGGTTCCCTCTCCTCACCTGGATCCCTGCAGCTCACTCCTCGTCTGTCCTGGTCCCTGGGCCTTTTCCTCTCCTTTCTCCTGCTCTCTCACCCTGCTGCTTTGGGCATACCTGGGTTCTCTCTCCTCACCTGGATGCCTGTGGCTTACTCCTCATCTGTCCTTGTCTCCAGGACTATTCTCTCCTCTCTCTGGTTCTCCCACCCTGCTGCTTTGGGTGTGCCTGCGTTCCCTTTCCTCACCTGGATCCCTGCGGCTCACTCCAATTCTGACTCATAGCATCCTGCATTGGGTTTCCAAGGCTATGGAAGCAGACTGTCCCATCTTTCTGTCAGAGAGCAGCTGGTGGGTTTGAACCACTGACCTTTTGGTTAGCAGCCAAATGCCTTAACCTCTACACCACTGGAGGCTTAGAACTCCTAGTGGGCTGAAAACTCAGAACTTTCCTGCCTTCCCAAGAACTCCTGTCTGTCCTGTGCAGACTGGGTGAGTTGAGAGTCAAAAAATAATCTGGTCCTCCTTAGCTGACTTCCTCAAACTCAGGGCATCTGTTTGCTGTTTTGTTGTACTCTTGAGAATGTAGAGGTGCTTACTGTCCTCAAATTTGAAGCTTAAACTGAAAGTCTGAGAGTATAGACAAAGACATATTCTACTTCTTCATATACTTACAACAACCCCATGAGAAAGCAATTATTATTTTCTATTTACTTGCCCCAAGGTTATATAGGTAGGAAATAGCAGAGTTGGAACTGAAACCGAAATCTAGTTGACCCCAAAGCTTGTCCTCATTACTAATCAAATAAACTGCTTCCTGCTTGCAGTCTGTTTTAAGGCATGCACCAAAAACCAAACCCACTGCCATCACCTCAATTCCAACTCATACCGACCTCCAAGGCCGGAAGTAGATTGTCTCATCTTCCTTCCACAGAACAGCTCGTGGGTTTGTATCACCAACCTCCTGGTTAGCAGTCAAATGCCTTGGGCACTGTGCGACCAGAGTACCTTTGAGGCATGCACTTTAGTGCTGACCTGGTTCAATGGTAATCTTTTTGCTCTATGTGGAGTCCTTTTGGTCTTTAGGTAAGTAGATATAAGACACACAGAATGTCAGAGGAAGTCTTGTTGATGTATATTGTTTCGAAGCACAGACCAATTATGATACATTTTGCTTTACCCTAGATATTTCTAGCCAAGAATTTTATGCCCTCCCCCCCAAAAAAAATTATATACATAGAATTGAATACATTATTGTGTTTCTGTTTTCCAGTGAAAGCTGGGAAGAATGTGCTCAAAGGGAAACCTTGGAAGAAGCATCCCTTCACCTGAAAAATGTTCGCTTTGCCTCAGTTGTGAATTCTTTCGTTGAGGAAGAAAATTACCATTACGTCACTATATTAATGAAAGGAGAAGTGGACTTGGCTCATGATTCAGAACCAAAGAATGTAGAGCCTGAGAAAAATGAAAGTAAGATAATTATATAAGAATGAATTTTCTTTGCATAGAGCATAAAGTCGGTAGAACTGCTCCATAGGTTTTCCAGGCTGTGCCCTTTCAGAAGCAGATTACCAGCCCTGTTTTCCTAGGCACCTTTGATGGATTTAAACTGCCAAAATTTGTGACTATTAGTCAAGCACTTAACTGTTTACACCACCCCAGAACTCCTTAACATATAAAGACAACCCACTGCTGTCAAGTCACTTCCAACTCATAGCGACCCCCACTGGGTTTCCAAGGCTGTAAATCTTTACAAAAGCAAATTGACTCATCTTCTTCCTGCAGAGCAGCTGAGGGGTTTGAACCACCACCTTTTGGTTAGCACTCAAATGCCTTACATACTACGCCACCAGACCTCCTTAGGTATATAGTGTGAATATATATATGTATATGTTAAAAAAAAAAAAAACACGCACTGTCGTCAAGCCGGACCCAACTCATAGGCTTGGGTTTCCGAGGCAGTATCACTGTGAAAGTAGATTGCCCAACCTTCCTTCTGAGGAGTGGCTGGTAGGTTTGAACTGCCAGTATTCTGGTTGGCAGTCAAATACCTTAGGCACTACACCACCAGAGCTCCCATATATATATATGTGTGTGTATGTATATACATACACACACACGTGTGTGTGTGTGTACGTATATACACACATACCAAGAACAACAACAACAACAAAAAAAAACTCACTGCCGTCAAGTCAGTTCTGACTCAGCAACCCCTCCTTGGGTTTCTGAGGCAGTATCATTACGGAAGTAGAATGCCCAATCTTCCTTCTGAGGAGTGGCTGAACCACCAGCCTCCTGGTTAGTAGTCAAATGCCTTAGGCACTATGCCACCAGAGCTCCTATATATATGTATACTCGCACTATATACCTACAGTGTGTGTATAAAGTCTGCATTTTGTTTGGTTGCTGTTTAAACAAACATTAAATAATGATAGTAAATCTGGATTTTTACTATGATGTGGCCTTTGTAAAATTGACTTCATGTACAAATTACAGCATGTTTTAAATGATCGCTGTTCTCGTAAGATCTTTGTTCTGAACACAAATTATATTTTTGTACTCAAGCTAGTGCACAGCATCACTATTGCAGTTTATTAGTAGCAAATAGTTTTTAAATTCAGTTAATGTTTTCTACATGTAGGTTCACTTACCAGAACAAACACCATTTGTTTCCTTTAGCTGCATAAGTTGATGTGGTTTCCTTCTGTTCTAGGTTGGGAGTGGGTTCCCTGGGAAGAATTCCCGCCGAGGGACCAGCTTTTCTGGGGACTACAGTGTTTAAAGGAACAAGGCTACGATCCTTTTAAAGAAGATTTGGATCATCTAGTGGGATACAAAGGAAATCAGCTCTAGGTCGTCAAGAGGATTCTTCAGTTTTTCAGAAAAGCAAAATAAGATATAGCTAGAGAATTAAAATCACCTGTATTTCAGAATTCCTCCATTTTACCCCAAAAATTCCATTTGATTACATTTTATTTGCATTCTCTTAAATAACCTCTACTTTTTCAGCTAGTAGTTGTGGAAACTTTTCATGTTTATGTCATTGAATTCTATTTCAGCTGTAGCATATATGATGAATAGGGATACTGTGTAAATCTGTTCTCCATATTTCTCTGTAAGACCTGTGCTATATATTTTGTCATTACTAGCTTGCATGGAGTGTAGAGTGCACTAGAATTTGTGTTAGTGTTTCTGTCCAAGTAGAGATCCTAACTCAACTGCTAACACAGCATTCCTGTTGTTGAATTTATCATGTTTGTTGATTTTATTTGTTTGGTAATATATTGTTATACTCCTTGGAGGTAGAGAGAACAGGATAGGAAATTAACAAATTTTTCCCATGTTTCTGATTGACTACCTAAGTCATGAGAAGTTTTGGACTATTACAAATAAAGCCACTATGAACATCATTGTACATGTTTTTGATGCTCATGTGTACTCATCTTTGTCGGATATACCTAGGAGTGGAAATGCTGGGTCACAGAGTATGTGTATCTTCAGCAGTTACTAAAGAAATTTTAATGTTTCATTTGTAAGGTCTGCTTCAACCGCACTGGGTGTGTTATATCATATATGATATATAAATCCTATTAACATTCTAAAATACAAAAATATTCCAAATTTTGAAATACATTTAGATCCAAGGGTTTTGAATAAGGAGTTTTGGAACTATATTAAATGTAAAGTGAGCAGGTACAGGGCAATTGATTTCTGAGGTAAGTATGAAATCCCCATATCCCCCAATCCACAACCCTATTAATGCTCATAACTAGGAATCTGTATATTTATTAATCCTACCTGTCTTTGTAGGAGCTCTGGTAGCATAGTGCCTAAGGCACTTGACTGCTACCCAGAAGGCTGGTGGGTTTGAACCCACCAGCCACTCCTCGGAAGGAAGGTTGGGCAATCTATCTACTTCTGTAGTGATACTGCCTCAGAAACCCAAGGAGGCGTCACTATGACTCGGATCTGACTCTACAGCAATGAGTTCTAAGTCCCAAGGGGGTACAAATGGTTTGTGCTCAACTTCTAACTAAAAAAAGGAGCCCTGGTGGTGCAATGAATGAGCTTGACTGCTAAAAGGAAAGTCTAGGGCTCGAACCCACCAGCCACTCTGCAGGAGAAAAGAGCTGGCGATCTGCTCCCGTAGATTACAGCCTCGGAAACCCTATAGAGCAGTGCAGTTCTGTCAAACAGGATCACAATGAGTTGGAATCGACTCAATGACATATGACAACTAAAGGTGGACGGTTTGAACCTACCCATTCATGCCACAGAAAAAAATATGCCTGGCAATATGCTTCTATAATGATTACAACCAAGAAAACCCTATGGAGCAGTTCTGTAATACATGGGGTCACCATGAGTCAGAATCAACTCAGTGGCAATGGGTTTGGTTTTTTTGGTTTGGTTCTTCTGCTACTCTCCTTTTGTTTGTAGAACCAACTTGTTTCCTGTTACCATTTAGAAATGCTGATTCAACTGCACCCAGCCTCAGAATACTTAACAATTTGTGGGCAGATATCATCTGGACAAGTTATGCAGCAAGGCACAAACCGGCACTTATGGGCTGGATTTGCCTCACATTTTGTGTAACCTGGTTTTCAATGCCTAGGCATGCAATCTCTAGTTTTGGCCTTGATTCCCAGCATTCCTTACACTAAGTAATACCTACCTACTTCTTACATTCGCATTACTGGCCTAGCCCCTGAAGGTAAATTTTAGTCTGTGATACCTTTATAGAAAAAGCATTCCCAGAGGCAATTGTTTTCAGGACATCTGCTTAGACATGAGGAGCCCTGGTGGCACAGTGGTCAAAGTGCTGAGCTGCCAACTGAAAGGTCAGCAGTTTGAACTCGTCGGCTGCTCTGCAGGAGAAAGATGTGACCATCTGCTTCCATAAAGATTACAGCCTTGGAAACACTATGGGGCAGTTCTACTCTGTCCTATAAGGTTACTTTGAGTTGGAATTGGCTGCTGGCATACAACACTTGGACATGCAAAAAAAACCCTATTTTTAAGAAAATTTTAAAACTACATTACACAGAATTATATTTGGTTTGGTAGTACTTTACACACTGCAGTTAAATATAAATCTCACATGTCATGTACTGCTGATGGGGTATATACTCACAAAATTTTCAGGGAGAAAATGTGGATTATGCTTCTGTGGTAAAGTTTTTGGCCTCTCCAAAGCTGTTCAAGTCCAATCTCTGTAACCTGTGAGTATGTTGTGTAAGATGCAGAGGGAGATTGAGGTTGCAGACAGAATAAAGGTTGCTGATCAAATGACTTCAAAACAAAGAGATTAGCCTGTATTATAAGGGGGGCCCAATGTAATCACAAGAGTCCTTTTAATAAGGAGGGAGGCAGTGTGTCTGATGCAGCGTGAGAAAGACTATACTGGCCATTGCTGACTTTCAAAATGGAAGGGAATGTTTATATTCTCAACAGCAGCAATAACAGAAAAAAAAAAAAAAAAAAAAGGAAGAGGACCACAAGCCTAGGAATGCAGGTGGCTTCTAAAACCTGGGGAAAGCAAGATTCAGATTTCCTAGAAAGGAATACAGCCCTGACCATACTTTGATTTTAACCCAGGGAATTATTTTCGGACTTCTCATGTGCAGAACTAAAGATGATAAATTTTTGTTTCATTTAAGTCATCAAGTTTGCAGTAATTTGTAAAGCAGCAATACAAAACTAATACAATTCAAAGAACTTGAAAAAACCAAACCAAACATATTCCTCTTTAATCTACCCAAAAGATTTAGAGAGAAAGATGTGTTTGTACACAAATGTTATGACAGCAAAAAAAAAAAAAAAAAGGCAAACAACACCCTAAATCTCCAATAAAAAAAGCAGTTAAATTATGGCACTTCTTGGAATGTTAGCCATTAAAATAAATCTTTCAAAGAATGGGTCCACATGAAAAAGTACTCAAAGTATAGTGAATAAAGCAAGGTTTTAGATACTGTTTCATCCATTCATTAAAAAAAAAAAAAAAAAAAAAACTGGGGGAGAAATATACCTAAATATTAAGTGCATGTAATTCTAGATCATGGAATTATAAAATTTTCTTCTATAAATTTTATTTTCCTACATAGATCATGTATTAAATGATCAAGAGGAAGAAAGGACTGGGAAAATGGCATTCTCAGTTTACCTGAAGGATAGAGATTACTTACAATTAAACAACACAGCAGAATCTTTGTTGTTAGTTGCTGTCGAGTTAGTTCCAACTGATAGTGACCCTGTGTGCAATACAACAAAGCACTGCCTGATCCTGCACCATCCTCACAATGGTTGCTGTGCTTGAGCCCATTGTCACAGTCACTGTGTCAATCAGTCTTGTTGAGGGACTTCCTCTTTTTTGCTGACCCTTAAGTTTATCAAGTATGACATCTTTCTCTTGGGACTGGTCCCTTCCAACAACATGACGAAAGTACAAGAGATGAAGTTCGGCTATTCTTGCTTCTAAGGAGCATGCTGGCTATACTTCCCTCAAGACAGATTGGTTTAGAATTTGCTTGAGTTTCAGCAAGACGGCGGAATAGGCAGACAAGCTACACAGATCTTCTGCAACAAAGCAATGAGAAACCAATTGAGACTGATACAGAAGACGATGCTGGAACCCTGAGCTTTGAAGGGAAGGATAACGAAGTGGATTAAATGCCAACTAGTAGAAGAGTTGATGTTTCTGAGCTGTGGTGTTGACAAAGAATACTGAAAGTATGATGGACTGCCAGAATGAACAAATCTATCCTGGATGAAGTGCAGCTGGAATGCTCCTTGGAAGCAAGAATGGCCAGACTTTGTCTCACCTACTTTGGTCATGTTGTCAGAAGAGACCATTGCCTGAAGGATATCATGCTTGGTAAAGTGGAGGGTCAATGAAAAAGGGGAAGGTCCTCCATGAGATGGATTGACACAATGGCTGCAATGATGGTCTCAAGTTTAGCAAGGATTATGAGGCTGGCACAGGACCAGGCAGTGTTTCATTCTGTTCTACAAAGGGTCACTGTGAGTTGGAACTGACTCAATGGCAGCTAACACAAAGAATAGAAGAAGAACCTGAATGTAAACAGCGAGTAAGGAGACAGAGCTGCTGACTGCCAGGTGCCTGAGGGTACAGCCATTTTGAGTATTTTCTAGTAGCAACCTAAGAATCAGCTCTGCTTAGGACTGCATGGGCAAGGATTGCATTGGTGCCTGGCTATGAAAAAGGAAAACAGTGAAGAAGAAGACAAACAGACCTGTTGACTGCCAGCAGCTGTCTTGAGCCATTTTTAATATTTGCAAGCAGCAGGCATGGCCATTTTGAATATACACAACTGGTGTTCTTACCTGGACAGCAATCCAATAGGCTCCACTTGCAGAGGACAGCATGGGCAGCCACACTGTAGGTTGACTAGAAAGGTGGGATACTCCCTTTGTCACTCTCATACCCCACACCCTCTTGATGAACAGAGATGCGGCCACCCCCCACCTCCACACACCTTCTTGACCAGCAGGAATTCCATCCAGGTCTGTGCCTTGACAGAGGCTGTGTGCTGTGCTCTGCCACACCCCTATTTTTTTTAATACATTTTATTGAAATACAATTTATATACAGTGAAATACACAAAACTAAAGTGACTAAAGTGTTGCATTGTATTCCATTGTGTGTATGTACCATAGTTTAGTTATCCATTCTTCTGTTGATGGACATGTAGTTTGTTTCCATCTTTTTGCTATTGTAAATTGTGCTGCGATGAACATGGGTGTGCATACATCTGTTCTTATCCTGGCTCTCACTTCTTTAGTATATATAGCTAGTAATGGGATTGCTGGGTCAAATGATATTTCTAATTCAA